AAAATATCGATATTAGCTAATATAGGAGCCTTTGTATAACATTTGTCTATAACTCTGTCAAATATTTTTGCTCCAAGTGTTAGTAGTTGAAAGTTAATACAACTTCTTCGAGGTCATATTTTTTCCAAAATTCTAAGAATTTTCTACATAACTTGGCAACCCCGCACTAAAATGATAAACTGTCTATATTGTCATATATAGAATTTTCTCAGGAATCCAACTGTTTAAAAATATATAGGGTGTTCCATTTAAAAAATGTAATGTTTGGCGTGTCCCGTTTTTACTCATCGCCCTGTATGTTTGAAATTAATTTTGTAGTTTAGGTTTCTTGATTCTGTACAACTTTTATATAAACTTTTTTTCTGTATTATAAGTAACAAGGGAGTTAGTGTACTTTCTCACACTAATGGCCCGCCCTGTATACTACCGTATTACAAAAATCTTCTCATAAAATATCTGCAATTTTGTTACAAACCCTCAGATCTCAGTGGGAATCAACTCCAACGGAACCATCGAGCTAGACGAGAAGTGCAAGGATGTCTGGGACAACAACACCCACTGGGTCCGAGCTCTTCGTCTCTCTGACGACTGTCACTCGTACAACATGCAACTCAGACTTCAACCCGCTTACCAGAGACCGACCACAAGTCTAGCGAAATTAACGCAAATCCCGAAATTGATGCTTCAAGCCGTAAGGCCCATAGAGGCCGGTCAGGAACTGCTCTTGTGGTTCTCCGAGGACATTCTGGCTATGCTGCAGATAGTCTTCCTGACGCCCGCTAATATACAGGGTGAGTATGAAGGTTAGGATCAACCGAACAGCTGTAGACATACAAATTTTACTTGTTCTTGATTTTGCTGCAATATCTCTTTGAAAGCATGCGAAGCAAAATAGTTTTATCCATTTATCCATTTTAAGTAATCAGGAATATACAGGGTGTCCTAAAATAAAACGTTCATATTTAAAAGGTAGATAAAGTGTATTGTCCTGATAAAAGTAACACAGTTTCACCAATGCTTCCTTAAAGAGTTACAGTAGTTAAATTAAATTGCAAATGACAACTTAAATATGATTTTACGGGTTCCAGCTCGAGAAGCATGAGTGGGAAACTGAATAAAAATTTTCCTCAAAGATGGATCAGTCGCGGCAGACCAATGATATGAATTGGCAGGTCACCAGATTTGTCTTGTTTAGATTTCTATCTTTGGGGATACATGAAACAATTGACAACGTCTAACAGTTTTTATTCGTGCGTATCATTCGCGGTTTTTGTTGCTGTATGTTGAGTGTACCAGACAGGGGTTAATACGCGGGTGGAACTTATCAATCGAATTAATGCAGCCGCAGTAACTGTAAGGCAAAATCTGCAAACAAAAATATTCTTCATTGTCTTATTTGCCTGCATTCAATGTAACGGTAAAAACTTTCAACGTCAGCTTTAGTTATTAATTTTAATACTAATTAATAAGTTGAACTAGTAACTTTAGGTTTTGTCCCTTAGGCAGCATTTGCTAATTTATATTCATTTGACATTTTTTAATCAGGACAATATACTCTATGCAGCTTAAGTATGGCCGGTTCATTTCGATGTTATTTTTATCGGCATTTGAAATATACTTCTTTGAAATATTCCATTCCATATAACTTGTACTAAATTAGTTTGTTTTTATCCCACAAAGCTACTCTTGAAATTAATTATTGTTATTTCTTTCTCTTTTATGTTATAATACAATTATAATTAAATAATTATGATATAAAAGCATCTACAGATATCTTTTAAAAATTTGCGATACATTTGTTAATTTTAAATCAAATAATTTGTAACGGACGTACATGAACTCTTAGGTGGTGTTGAAGTTGTGGCAATGGCAAGTCGACGCAATGTGCAGTCGTGGCCGAGTGGTTAAGGCGTCTGACTCGAAATCAGATTCCCTTTGGGAGCGTAGGTTCGAATCCTACCGGCTGCGAGTTTTTTTTTTTTTTCGTGCTTTATATGGACATATCAAAGTATTTTAATTAAACAGTATTTTAAAATCAATCATTGTTTAATGATTTGAGAGGTTTATTTGAGGTCATTTAAATGGCTTTCTACCCCCTAATATTTTTTTCTTTTTTGTCTAGGAAAGAAATGGTAATAACGATAGTTTTAGGAAATTCCCTTACAATTTTAAAGAAAAATATTTAAAAAAATTGTCATTTACACCTAAACTAAAAACGATAACATAGCCGATATTTGAAAGGGGTTGTTTTATTTTTTTAACTGATATAATTTATTATTGAGTTTAAGTATAAAATCAACTACTATGGTTCTAACTGTTTCTTTGTAGCGGACACCCTGTATACATTAACCCAATTAAAATAACATTTTGATGAATTTAAACAAATCCAGAATTTTTTAACTATTGGTAATTCTATACGTACCTATTTAATTCACTTTTAAATACGATTCTTTAACAAACAAACTTTCCCATTTACTTATTTGACACTTTTGACAGTTTTCAACCTGACTAACCTTTATATGTTTGCATCATTCAGTTTCATTGATAAAAGTTTTGTCAAATTATTTCAGTAAGGCTGCTTTAGTCTGCTATGTATCCTATTATGTTGTGTTTTTAAAGTATTTTAAACATGTTTTAATGTGTTTAATGTTGTATGTTCAATGTTCTTATCTCTTGTAGTATTGTTTATAGGCCAGAGGAATATAAAATATATAGAAACGTTGTCCTAGTCAGGAAAAATAACCTTACTTATCCCTTTCTTACACCATGTTCTTCAATTTTTTGTCGAACATGTATTAAAAACTATTTTTTTCGCATCTAGGGCAAAAGAAATACGTCTGCACCAGATGCTCAGCATTATACGAATCTCCAAACCCCCTGAAGCTCCACATCACCCTCAGCTGTGGCAAGCAAACAGTGACCAACCTCTGGGAGAAGCTCTCCGACCTGATGAACGAAAACTCCTTCCAGAACATCCTCAAACAGGAAGCCTTCGACTTCAAGCTCTCCCCCGAGCCCCAGTTCTTCAGGCAGGGAAACGCCATCGACCTGACCATCTCCAATAGCATTCACAGCACCAGGTGCGACTCGAACAAAATCTACAGGCCTTACAGAGAACCATCAGCGTTCAAACCGTTCAGAAAGGAACCCATTGAACAACCTCTTCCCATGAACGACGCGCCCATGGTGCTGCCCATGCCTTTCGAACCGGAACTGCAAATCCATACGCCCTCTTACAGCGACGAAGCTCATATAGAGTCCCTTGTGAGTAGCTTGGGGAAGTCCAAGCAAGGCCATATATGTCTCTATTGTGGGAAGTGCTACTCTAGGAAGTACGGATTGAAGATCCATATCAGGACACATACGGGGTACAAGCCATTGAAGTGCAAGTTTTGTAGCAGACCATTTGGAGACCCCAGCAACCTGAACAAGCATGTGAGACTGCACGCAGAAGGCAATACCCCTTACAAGTAATTAATTCAGTAATTTAAAAAGTTTTGGTGTAATGTTAAATCACAGCATAGAAACCAGCAAATTCACTTTGTCGTTAGCATTCTGATTTTTTTTCGACCCATTCGATGACCTTGAATAAAGAAACGGCAACCAGGACCGCGATATTAATGTTTTATTTGTACAGGAAAGCGTATTATATGTTATTTATAATTTAAGAATGTTGCATACTAAAAAATAGGATAATCTACATACTTCGAAGATGAGCTCTCTTGCTTAGGAAATAAGGTCGTAAATGCTTCTTTGTGGATACTATTACTCAGTGTATACTGTAAATCATTAAAAAGAACATGTCTTTTTTCAAAATCATCATTATTACATTTTTACCATCGTATCTACTATTTTTATTAAATTATTGTATAGATTACGTATTTATTTACGTTTTTAAATAATTCAGAGAAAATTAAATTATTAATGAGACTTATCTTATTCTTCTTCTTCTAATAAACTTAGTAGAATTAAAATCGGTCAACCTTTTTTTCACATACCTTTTTATTGGGCTTGGATCTTAAGTTTTTCAAAGATAAATATTTGTTTGCAGATGTGATCTATGTGGCAAAATATTGGTGCGAAGAAGAGATCTTGAGAGACATTTGAAATCCAGGCATATGATTGAAATGCATCCTGACATGAATATTTTGCAGGATATGTCCACCGACGATATTCGAGTCAGTGATGAGGATTCCAGAAAAAGTTCGAGTTAATATTTTTCAAAAGATTTTATAATTGTGTACATAACAAAAATTCTTGTATATATCGAGAAATATATTTTAATTAAATGCTAATTCATTATTTCAGTCAGTTTCCAAATGATTATTTTTGACAGCATTCGCGTATGATTTATTTGGATTTACATGTGGTTGTTGAGCCAGACACCAATAATGATTTAAATTGGATTGGCACTGCTGAATCAATTAAAATGTCCTGCATATCTATTAAAGAAGTGTTAACGCCATTACATGTCATTGAATGTCATTACTGAAACATACAAATAAAGTTGGATTGGAAGTGATGGACAGATTCAATGACCACCTAGATCGCCAGACCTGAACATGTTCAATTTTTTTATTGAGAACAATATTGATAGTTTTGCATACGTAGAACTAGTTTAGGATTTGCAAGTTCTACAAAAATTCTGTATCCTTTGTAATCTTGTTAAAGTAGCTGGAAAGTCTAAAATAAAACAATTTTCATTAAATTTTGCAACAGTCGACATTCTGATATATGCGTCTAGAGAGTAAAGTAGAAAAATGGGACGTTATTCAATAACCTTTACATTATTAACAAAGAAATTTTTATTTTTTTGTTGGGCGCCATCTATAAAGCAATATTCGTAAAATTTTAACATTTGATATGGCAGTGGCTGCACAAAACTTTACAATAGAAATACAGAGGTAAATGATACTTAGTACCTACAAAAATACAAATTATTTATTAAATAAAATCCTGGCGTCAAAACTTAAATACATCCTAAATAAATAAACGAAAGTCCATGAAATTTGTCAAATATCCTGTCTAGCTCAGTTACTCCTAAAACGCTTTTTCGATTCTTCCCTGAGTTCTATGAGAACTGGGGATTCCTTGGAGTTTGTGAAAGGCTCTACCACAGCATGGGGTTGGGTGGATTGAACGATACCAGCTGGGGCAAGAACTTGAGGCGGATTCCTGTTTACTGGAAGAAGAATAATATTATTAGCAAAACCACCAAAGGAAACATTTTTTAAATCAGATTTCTAAAAGAAGCTTATATCTTACCAAGTTCCTCGTCTTCTTCGTCAACCTCAAGCACAGGCTCTGCTTCCCTGTCGGGGAAATTTAGGATAGTTACATTCTTTGGAGGCAAATTAAGTGGTTCCTCGGCTTCCACCACCACAGCTTCAGTCTCCGGTACAAAGACAGCATCCTCATTATTGACGTAATCCAAAGTCACTGGTCTCGTTGGTACAGCGTATACAACATTGATAGCAGTTGGTGTGTCAGCCGACACGAAGGTGGTCTGCTGGATTGGAGCTATCACCGCACCAACCTTGATTGGAATCCTGTACCTTTCATGGACAATCTCGACCTCAGAAGGAAACAGGACGCTGCTCTTCAAGCTGTAGACCACGATAGGCTTATCCAACACTATCCTGACAGCCGGAGTACATTGAAGTAAGCTGTCCTGCTTCGTCTTTATAGTCATTATTGGTTTGGTGGTAGATACACCCATGATGTGAGCTTGTGACACCATCTTCATGTTCTCCTTCGCCATCAGGAGCATGGGTACTACAGTGAACTTGTTGGATATCGAGTAAGGCACTTCTGCTAGTAAGTTAAGATTGGGTAAGATGTCCGGGGTTGCTAAGTATGCTGCCGCTACTCGGTCTTGGATCAAGTCATTGGTGTATGATTGTAGATACTGGTTGTACGGGCTATTATACTGAGCATAGTTGGGTATTGGGTTCTGATAGTGTGGGTTGTATCCAGGATTGTAGGGGTTGTAAAGATGGGGATAGCTTGAAGCCGTTGTTAAGATGATGAGGATCTGGACGCAGAAAATCTGAAAACAAATGGCAGTGTTATGATCTATGTTTTACTACTTTTTCCTTTTATATGTAACCAGATCATATTGATACAATTAATTCTTTTAGGTCAGATTTTGCATACAAACACTAGGGAGTAATTAAAGATGACAGGGGAGGATTTAGGTTTTAGTTGATTTCCGAGGATGAAATATATTCAAAATTTCTTTAAATTAAATCAAATATAAGATCGAGCGGAATAAGTATCCTTCTCGCGCTGACAAAGTTATTGAATATTCTGCTTGCAATAAATAAAATTCGTCAGAATATGTAGTTTCATTACAGCACTATTCAAGTAATAAATGATATAATGAAAGCTACTGATATTAATTGACTGCCTCAGTCTTACTTGAGTATAATGAAGTATGTGATAGAATTAATCATCTGCTGCTTCTTGTAATGCTGCATTATATTAACTTCAATAATGATTCAGGTTCTCTAATTGATATCTTACTGGCAGGCAACAATGTGTCGTATATAATAACCATTACTCTCATCACTAAGCAGGTAGCAGTGGCAGCGGTGTGCTAGGAGAGTTTGTTTTAGGTCCCTTATTTTTCACGATAGTGTCACAGTTTGGAAAACTGTGAATCACACTTGTATGCTGATGACACGCAACAGTATTTTGTAAATCCAATACAACAAGGTAATCAGAGAATGAATGACTTAAATTCAAATTGTTTGGAAATCGTGACTTAGTATTTCTCTAGAATTTTTTTTACAAAGCTGAATACAAAGTCACCAAAATTGATCAATTCAATAAATACCATTTTCTAACATCAAAAAAATCAGGATGTGAGATTCACTGGTTCCGGTTACTTGGGTTAGAGATTTATAGGCACTAAAGCTCGCTTTACTCGCCTCTCTGAGGGTTTGAAAGAGTTCATGCAATTTTTTGAGGTTAGGTTGANAAAGTACACCCGCCATATTGGATCAGCCATCTTGAATTTTTACAATGTGAATTCATATTCGTAATCAGCTACCCAAAAAACCCCTTTATACAAAATAGCGATTCCTGCTCCGTTTTTTGAGGTTAGAAAAAAAACCACACGTTCTAGCTCAATTCTGACAGTGGATTTGAATTCAGCAAAGTATTTTACATAAAAATGTACTATTTGATGTGGAAATAATTTTTTTTCCAAATTTTCCCAGTAAATTTTCATAAATTTTTACTATTTTTCACAAATTTTTTGAGGTTAGGAAAAAATTGTGACGTGATGGGCCTGTTCTGACCCCAGATTCGTGTTCATAAGGCCAAATTACTACGAAAAATATATGTCGCATAAAAAGTGTACCCAACTTTTTTTTTCTGAGTGGCTGTGATAATTAAACCTGTTTCACATTAGCAATTTTTTTACTCAATAAATTGTTTACAAATTATTACAATTCGCTATATTTGTGGCATGTTCTTTCATGTCACAAACTTGATGAAACTATGTAGTATATACAAGGTGTCCGGAAAGGTCATGTCAAAAATGAAGGGGTATACAGAAGAGCTCAAAATAGTTGTAGTACTTCATAATTTTGTTTTTCCTATCGGGCTTCGTTGTGGAGTTATTCACCTTCAAAGAAAGAAGTTTGAAAAACAAATTCCAATTATAACTTCTAAGTCGTTATCATGACAACAATGAAATTTTGGCAATTAAAGTAACTCATGGTAATGTTCATTTCCAAGTTAAACTGATATTCAATATGAATGAATTATACAGGAGCAGATGAAATTATCCATTTTTTATACATCTTTTACAGCGTTGCCAAATTTGACATTTTTCTTTCATAGTTCGATTCCTCTCTCATTTTGCTAAAAAAAAGGTATACCGTATATCTAAGCTCGATACGAATAAATTTTATATGAAGTACTACTTACATCTATTTTGACCTACTCTATATACCTCTTTATTATTGACATGACACCCTGTATATATATTCAATTTCGGTTTCAATAAAAATAGTACTTCAGTAGAAAGTAACATACAGGGTGGACCATTAGTGTGAGAAAGTACACTAACTCCCTTGTCCCATGAATGAAGATAGGCTTTTTTTTAATTGTGTGCTTTTTACTGATGAAGCAACGTTTCACAAAAATGGAAGCGTGAACAGACACAATTTTCATTATTATGCTTCTGAAAATCCGTTGCTTATAAGAGTTATAAGGACACATAAGGCTTTTTTTCGCGACTGAAAATTGGTGAATATCTGACTGGTAGTTACTATTTCTATCTCTTTTGATCTTAGTTGTCAGATGGTAGTTTAAATCTCTTCACTCACTGACACTACACATACTACAACATACGATTTCACTCGCGAAAAAAAGCCTATAGTCAAATCCGGTGGGCACTCAATGTTTGGGGCGGGATNGAGTTTGTTTTAGGTCCCTTATTTTTCACGATAGTGTCACTGTTTGGAAAAGTGTGAATCACACTTGTATGCTGATGACACGCAACAGTATTTTGTAAATCCAATACAACAAGGTAATCAGAGAATGAATGACTTAAATTCAAATTGTTTGGAAATCGTGACTTAGTATTTCTCTAGAATTTTTTTTACAGAGCTGAATACAAAGTCACCAAAATTGATCAATTCAATAAATACCATTTTCTAACATCAAAAAAATCAGGATGTGAGATTCACTGGTTCCGGTTACTTGGGTTAGAGATTTATAGGCACTAATGCTCGCTTTACTCGCCTGTCTGAGGGTTTGAAAGAGTTCATGCAATTTTTTGAGGTTAGGTTGAAATTTTAATGCATATACTACAAAATCTGAATATTTGTAAGCATTAGAAGAAGCATTATACATAGATTTCATATTTTGCTAGTTTTTTTTTGCACAATTGCACGTAGTTATTAAGCTCTCAGTCAAATCTATATGTAAAAAAATTCGATTATCTTCATTTTTTGAGGTGAGAGTAGTCATTATTCAACTGGTCAATTTTTGATATCATAATTGTACTCAGAATTTTAAAAAAATATGCTAAACAAATGCCATGTCCCGATTTCCATACAATTTGATCGTCCCTCGCAATTTTGAGGTTAGGTTGGTTGGTTTCTAACCTATATATTTGGACTATCTATTGAATTTACTTATTACATACACAGTTGTTTTTAGTTAAGTTAACTACATAGCTGTTCATCAGAAATAAGCGCCGTTTTTTGCTATTTCGACATATGTTTTGAGGAACCATTTTTGTCTGCAGCTGTACACTCATTAAACCGTGATTTATACCCGTTCTGTGTCATTAAGATTTTCAGGTACATGCACCGCTAATGTCTGCGACACCTTTAGAATGGCAATGCAAAGGCGTTCTTTTTATTGCAACCATTACGTTGTTCCTTGCAATTATCAAGACGACATGCGACTTTTAATGAGCTGTTTAAAAGCATTTTTCAACAATCGCATACCAGGATTCGTCCTTGTCAGTTTCTCGCTCCGGATGCACTTTTGTCTGGAAAAAGGACGACCTTGCTTGCGTTTCGCATGGCTGAAATTAATGACTTAAATGATCAGTACGAGAAAGTTTATGAAAATGATAACCCTCTGCATCGACGTTACAGGAGATTATGTTCTTTATTGGTATATAATTATGCGATGGCCTTACTTGCTTTCTGGGTACTTAATACAAAATTTATTTATACGAGAATATTTATACGTAAGACTTATTGTAATGAGATACAAGAAATAGTAAACGAAATGAGAAGAAAATAAAAAACAATTGCAAAGAGACACATGAAGCAAAACTTGTGTTATGTCTCTGTCTAATTCGAAGTACTTTCCTTAAAACTTATGGAACAATCATCAGTTTTAATTTATCTAAAGGAAGCCACTTTAAAGTACAGCGTACATGATTATTTACATGTCTGCCTCTGGTCTGAAGCTTCGCATCGATCAATTTATTCAATACGTATCTAGCGGCACCCTAATGCCTGCCCTGTGCATTGTTGTTTGTGCAAGTTTTTCGATGTCTACTAGTATTAAATACGGTACAGAGTGAACTAAATTCTATATTACAGAGAGAAAACGTTATTAGGACATCTTAATCAAGTCGCTGCTGAAGCGGAGCAGGAAGAGTTTTAACACCTTGAAAAAAATATGCAAGTCAGGGAAGTTATTTCGTTAAACGACACCTTGATTATTATAATGACAGTCGACAGGCGGGGCTCATTGATTCGCATAACAGTTTAAGTCAACATGGAGCTCTGTATGTTAATTCCGTCCTGCCAGATTACCGTTCGTTGAATATGTATATCGTTATTTTTGGATGTGGTCCATTTTTTATTGTGCTAAGGTTATACACCTGATGTGAAAATACCGGTGGCCTTACACACAAGTAACAAGCTCAGACGTTAATTAATTAATTACAAGGTGGGGCTGTATAATTTAGACAAGTGGGAGAAACATTCATTCGGCCTCCCAGTAGGTCTTTCATCGGGGCAGATATGGTTCTTTGCGACATTATTTAATTATTTTCTTAAACCCAGAAGAAAACGGGAAATGTTTAATATTGACTTAAAAATTAGTTAAGGATTCGTTTAAAAAAAATACAACCAAAGAAAACTGTCAAAAAGTTAATTAACGAAAATTGTGATCCTGATTCACAGCCCCACAAAAAAAAGGATCGGATCTGGCATTCAGACCCATGTATTTCCATGTATTTTTTTCCGCTGAATCCGAATCTGCCTTCAGATTTGGCCCAACGGGTCTGAGTTTCCGAGAAAATTAAAAAAACGTCATTTACGATCGACGAAAGTTATAAAAAATCAAATTATTCTACCAGCTCACTAGACGTATGATTTTTCACTCGTTTAATTCCAATTTATCATCATAGAGACAGACAAGCTGGTCCAATTTCATTCAAAAACAGAAAATAGATCAAAATGCTAAAAACGTCATTTTCATGGCTCGTGTTGCAGAGTTCTGGATCCATCTTTTTATCCATTCACCCATTTATGAATTCATACATCTTTCTATTCAGTCGTTCAT